AAGCCCTGTCTCCCGACAAAAAAGTTATAAATTAAATCAGTTTTAACCGGTGCTTACTGCACTTGTTCTTGTTATCCTCTTCTTTTCTTTTTTGGAAGGCTACAAAGGAAACCCCAAAAAAGCAGACACCAAATTATAATTATAATAACCATGATGATAATGAACCCTACCCACTGTCCACTCATAAGGGCTTTTGAATTTTCGGGGTTTCGGGGAAGCTCGCTCAGGTGAAACAGGTTGAGCGACCACAAAAAAAAACGCCAAGAAAGATGCATTCACAACTTAGTAAATACATATCTTTGTATATATGATTGTGAGTATAGGTGCATTGAAAAAAATAGTATTGATAATGTTTTAAAAAAAATAAAAATTAAAGTAAAAATTAAACAAAGTTACAATGTAAAATTATATATTACTTAAGTAACTAAAAAATTTTCAGTAATGAAAAAGGCTTTAAAAACGCAATGATGATATTCAATAGCCAATACAATGAAAAAGTATTAAAACTTTTAATTTATATAAATAATGTTAACTTAATTTTAAAATTATTTTTTATTTTTTTTAAATTTGTTCCCATTTTTTTGTTAACTGAGCATATAAATATGTTTTTGTATACTGTCATTTGCACACTCTTGACGTTTACTCATAATTTTTTTTTGGACATTTATTTTTATGACAACGACAATTTGACAGGCAGACGGACCAAGAAATTTTGGAATGGGTGAGGAGACGTTGGGGGAAACGGAGCATAAAACAGAATTATCATAATTATCGGAACTTTTGTTTATGGCAAACATCAGGAGCAGCTTGCAAAGGCATGTGCCTGTTTAAATTGTGTGAAGACATGTGTAGAGGATGCGGTGCCCATTTGCTTAATTTTGGGATCGTTTTATGGCATTCCTTTTAGTATGGTGCCTGAAATAATTTACTCAAAGTTATACAGAAAAATTTAAATAAAAATAATTTTACTTTTAAGTACTTAGATTATTTTTTAGAAAAAAAATTACTAACTTAATTGCTTAATGAAAGACAATGCTTTTTAGACGTCGTTCCCTAAATTTCTAAATTTGCTTTTAAGTTTACCGACTAAATAATTCATTTCATTATTCTTAGAAGATGACTATACTCGAGTCCCCTTGAATGCTAATTTCATTAAAAAAATCAACAGATCCACCTTGTTGATTCGCTTCCTGATGGAACTATTCAGTTTTCCGGTGAGCACAATTCTGCCTGTCACTTGAAGGTATCTCTGAAAATAAACCAAAATAATCCTTGCAGTCATTAATCAAGAGTTACTCACTCCTCCATTCTTCTCTTCCGAAAACTCTTTTCACTAACTGTTACTTTTGCTGACGGGTTCTGTTTCCCCCGCAATTTAAATGAATTTTTTCCACACTTCATTTTCATTTATTCTGTGTCATGCTCTATCATCATTAAAACGTCCAAATCGCTTCCTTTGTGCCTCTATTTTTCGGCAACAATTTGCTTATCTTGATTCACCATCAACAGGCAGACACGAGGGTACCACAGAAAATATACAGGTGACTATACCTATAGAGGTATGGTAAATATATCTGGGGTCTGTTGGTGGCATGAAAATCACTTGAGCGTGTTTCCTTTTGACCAAGCAACGTTGTTGGTTGTTTAACGTTTGCACTTTGTGGCTTTCCATTTGATCTAGCCACCATGCCCCGCCCCCTTTTCCACCTGCAGCATTTTCACACTCACTTCATTTAATTTAATTTGTGCATATTTCTTTTTTTCGGCCGCCGCGAGGAAAAACATTGTAAACTGATACGAGCTTAATGATGTCGAATCCCCTGCCCTTTGCGTCTTTGGTCCTAGGTGTGTGTTTTTAGGGGTTTTAACACTAGAAAAAAAATTTAAATTTACTTACAAGAAAAAACTTAAAATTGCAGTGTACAAAAGGATTTATATTTTATTTTGTACATGCTTCGATTTTATTAAACATTATTTAAAAAGTTTTCTTTAATATATAATTTTGTTTTGAATCAGTTTTTTTAAACTGTGAAAAATATAATAAATAAATTATAATTTTGTTTAAATTTTTATAAAATTATTCTTCATATTTGAAGTATTATAAATGGAAAGTCTTAAAGTAAAGTGAAAAAACGAATATTGGTATTTAATTTTAGGAACCTTTTTTGGAAATGAAATACTATTCGAGCAAGGACTTTTTTCTTAGTGTTCCCGTTTCTATGTGTGCCTAAGCATTAATTAATTTTAATGAAGCTGTTGCTGATGTGCGTGTGAAGTGTCGCAAATTACAGACAAAGGTCCGAAAGTTTTTTTTGGGAGTGACAGTTGACAGACTGAAATTGTAGCGATTAATGCTGCAGTTGGTTTTTTGTTTCTTTTTGGATCGTGGACGCGCATCGGTAGTTAACCAAATCCCAGATTCATATCTCCCCTGAAGTCCCAGGATTCGATTTTACTTTTGGTTTTGGTCAAGTGTCGATAAGACAACCTTTGGCTTCTCTCACTCTGCAAAATTAAAAAAAAAGCAAGAGGAGTAAAGGCTGCAACGACGTAATCGAAAACCAGTTCTGTGGCTGCAAAAATGTTCATTATAGGGATTTCTCCTTTGTATATTGTGTACATAAGGCTCTAAAAGTGGTTTGGCAACCCTTTTTGACACACAAACACCATTGCAAACCCTCGGGTAAATGCAGTTTTTTAACGAGGCACGTACGTATGCCTGTTTAGATGCCACTTCGATGCATTTGCAGCTTTTTTTTTGCTGCATTGCAATCACGCCGCTGTTGCATGTTGCATGATGCATGTGCGTGCCCCTTGCGTTGGAAATCAGGGTGGTTCACTCTTGATCTTGGGAGTATTATTATTTCAAGGTTACCGGTGTGTTGGTTAGAAATCTATTTACATCTTAAAGTTTGAAAATATTTTAATCACATACATTGCAGATATTTTAGAAATTTAGAATTTATTTTTTCAAATATTTTAGAACTTTCTGTTATACTATTATTTTCTCAATAAAGGAAATAATTAAACTAATGCTCTTATATAAAACTAAATAAACATATACATTCCTAAAAAAACCTTGTCCGTTCAAGAGAGCGTCGCCAAAAAAGTTTTTGTTTAAGTCTTAGAGTTTTTAAACTAACAAAAAAATAAAACGAACAATAAAAAAAAAAGTTTAATGAGCAAATAGTTAAGGACAATATTTTTATTATTATTAGTAGTTAGTTTTGTCCGCTTAACAGAGCGTCCGTAAAGTATAACGTTTATAAAAGAATTTTATTAAAAGTAATCGAAGTTTTTTTATATAATATATTTTTAATAAACCTGACACACCCTCACAACATTTAACCAACTCGCTCCCCCAGCTTTATATATAACTCGATTTATGTACGTACTCTGACAGACTTTGTACATACATTGTTTATGCAATTCTCGTGACTCCTTTTGGTTCTGTTTTCCGCTCGTTGTGGTTTTATATTCGCCTGGCCTTCTGCAGCTCTTCTTCTCCGGGCCTGCTGTTATTGTTTATTCCGCTTTGGCAGAGCATTCATACCAATACCATATAGCCGCTCCTCAGAGGAGCAGAGCAGTCCGTCCGAAAGTCCGCTGCTCCTTAGACCTTGACCACTAACATAGAAACAGGCCATAACCGGTTGGCCAGGCCAACTCGATTTGCACAATTGGCCGTCCTGCCAGCAGACCCCCCTTTTTGGTCCCCCCAAACCATAGTGCATATATCCCATATATATATTCACGTATATATCGCCAGTTGTGCGATTCAATTACCGAATCACACCCACACAAATTGGTAACTGCGATCCGTGGATTCCGCTTTGAGGTCTTCAGCTGTCAAACCGCCAATTAATGGCCCAAACGTTGACGGACAAAGAGTGTCACAAAATATTGAAAGCGATTTCTATTATCATATTTATACCCTTTAATGGAGGGGTATTTAATTATGCCGGAACTGGGAAAAGGGGTGTTATTATAGTAATAAGATAATGGTTATAATACAAATTTTCCCAGGTAATAAAAAAAAGAATTATAAAACTGAAATCATTTTTATAAATTATATTCCATAAATAAAAAATAAAGAAATAAATGTTGGTGATCAGATTTTCCATATTTTTACTTTAACTCTCATGATAGGACTCTATATTTTTATTTAAAGATCTTTTTTGTAAATTCCTCAATGGTTGAGGGTTTCGAAGGGTGTTTAAATTTTTGGTCCCCAATTTTTGTCTATTATAATATTTATCTATGAGTCGCACGCACATCGGTTATTCATGTTTTGTGGGTGGGGATTACGGCCTGTGCATTTTAATTGATGCGGGATTATGGGTACCACAGAGTCAGGAGAGGCGACCGAAACCAAAGGGTTGCCGAAATTAATTACCAAAATGTTTGTTAATTTTCATAATTACAGGTCTTGGAGCTGGCACGACTTTTCTTTCTTGGGGGAGAGATCGTGTGTGCTTAAGCGGAGGAGGAAGAATCGAAATTTGCCGCTCGATAAAGCAACTTAATGGCAGGCCTTTGGGAAATACATATAAGAAATAAGACGACAAGCCCAGAGAATGTCTTCCGGAGTGGAGAGACCCTCATACCTTTTTATAATTCCCATTCCCCCTACGAGATGACCTAATTCCTGAGGCTCCGAGGAACAAAAGCAACCTACTTGTCATAATAAAAATTATTCAAAAGCCAGCATGTGTGTATGGCGCTTCCTCCTTCTCCTGATGGATTTCAATTTTTATAATATTTTGTTTTTGGAAATTTGATCCCCTAATGTTGTTGGCAATCACGTGTTCCGTGTATCATTTGACCCCTTTTCCATTCTTGATTCTTGCCCCCCTTTTTGGGGATACAAGCAGATGCACTCATTTTCGATTTGGAACCCGACCTTGTTTACTGTTCTTAGATTTCAAAACAACCCAACTAATTGATGCCCAACTTGTTGATGGACTCTGCCCAAATTGGAGTACAAAAGAAGCACTCACTAAGTTGTTTAAGCGATTGAATATTTATTTGTTAATTGAACAGCTCGAAAGTTCTTTAGAGGCTGGTAAGGGCATTCTGCGGGGGAAAAGGGCATACCATTCATTACTCATCAGATTAGCAATAGTTTTTAAGAACCACTTACGGCCAGATCGCCTAGGCCAGCATTGAGCTGCTTTATATAGGGGGCAGCGGCATCGGCAGCAGCGGCGATTTTCTTGGCACTCACGGCCTGGAAATTAGGGGAGAATTTGTATTATTTATCTGGTATACATTTCTTTCTAGCTCGACTTACTCCTCCTTCGGCTATGATGGAAGCGCCATCCGACTGAAACAGAGGAAATATTTATTAGTTTTGATAATTTTTCATTTTTAAAATAGATTAATCTAAACACAATTGTGTTTGTTGTAATCTAGAATCCTAAAAAAAATAAATAAAAGCAAAAAGCATTAAAGAAATTGTTTCAAATTTTTTTGGATTTTGTTAAATAAAATTAAAAACTTACCGAAAGACTTCGAGCCTGGGGACCGGTTTTCATCTGGACACTGAGACTGGTGATGGCGTTCTATAAATTTTTGTATATTATTTAATTTTTTTTTTGGTTATGACAAATTTTGAACTTACAGCCAAATCACCAAGTCCGGTGCCAACTCCACCCAGAACATCGCCCAAAAGATTGGTGGCCTCGGGTTGCATATAATCATTCTCGACTCTCAAACTGGTAATAGCGTTCTAAAAAAAAAAAAAAATTTAACAAAATTGTTTATAAATATTCTTTAAAAAAAATTTTTACAGCCAGATTGCCCAAGGCGTTTCCCATATCGCTGAGGATATTCAAAGTGGTTGGCTCGACGAAATCCGATTGGGATTGGGCCACTGCGTTTTCCAGTTGATGGATGACCTTCTCCCCAGCGACTGCCACTTGGGACACATCCCCCATTAGGGATCCAAAGCTAAGGGTACCAGCTTGGGCATTTTGGGCCACCAGGAAGAGTGAAAGAATGCTTAGAATTGCAAAGGAATGCATGTTAGTGTTTTTCGTAAAATCAATGAATTACTGAATCACTCCCAGTAGCCACCCACTGCACTTATAGGCCATTCTTATCTTTGGGTTTTTGTGGGAGTTACTGACTTCTTTGACGCCGCCAATAAAAACAAATCATACTTGAGTGGTTAATGATTCCCAAACTGATTGTCGGCACATTTTTGATTCTGATTGATCAGTTGTTCGACTTAATTTCGGGGTATTCCTTACGGTATTTGCAATGTTTTACAATCTAATAAACGACAGTCTCAAGAGGGTCCTAATATCAGGTGGCCAAAAATAAACCCGACAGTCAAAACAAATAATGACATGGGATTATCTAGAGAGCTAGAGCTTAGAAAAATAACAAGAGAGAACGCTATAGTCGGGTGCCCCGACTATCAGATACCCGTTACTCAGCTAAAGGGAGTGCGAAAGAGATGGAAAAAAACTTTGATCCGCCGTAACTTTTTAACGAATGGTCCGATTTAAAAAATTTCTTCTACATTTCGATAGGTATTGATAATCACAATAAAACTGCATTTTTACTTTTCCAAAATATTGAAATTTTTAAAATCGTATATAAGCGATTGTGGGCGTTAGGGGGGGCGTGGCACCCTTTTGAAACAAACTTGCGCTGCGTAGGAACTCCTAGAATCTGCATGCAAAATGTCAATCTTCTAGCTTTTATAGTTTCCGAGATCTCAGCGTTCATACAGACAGACAGACAGACAGACAGACGGACAGACAGACGGACAGACGGACATGGCTAGATCGACTCGGCTAGTGATCCCGATCAAGAATATATATAGTTTATAGGGTCGGAAACGCTTCCTTCTACCTGTTACATACTTTTGCACGAATCTAATATACCCTTTTACTCTACGAGTAACGGGTATAAAAAGCTGTCGTATTTTTAATTGCTCGTTCATTTATTGGGCTAAATGAGTAAATATATAAGGAGATACTCTAAAATATGGAGTGGAAAATGTGGCCAGCTTCATTTGCAATATTTCCAGCTGCATTTGCAACATCACCAGCAACATTTCCAGCAGCATTTGCAACATCACCAGCAACATTTCCAGCGGTATTTGCAACATCCCCAGCTACATTTCCAGCTGCATTTCCAATATCTCCTAGAACGTTCCCGGCGGCATTTGCCACATTTCCAGCAGTATTCGCAACATCACCGGCAACATTTCCAGCAGCATTTGCAACATCTCCAGCAGCATTGGCAGCAGCATTTGCTGCATTTCCAGCAGCATTAGCAACATCACCGGCAACATTTCCAGCGGCATTTGCTGCACTTCCAGCAACATTTCCTGCTGCACTTGCAACATCTCCAGCAGCATTGGCAGCAGCATTTGCTGCATTTCCAGCAGCATTTGCAACATCACCGGCAACATTTCCAGCTGCATTAGCTGCACTTCCAGCAACATTTCCTGCTGCACTTGCAACATCTCCAGCAGCGTTGGCAGCACTTCCAGCTACACTCGAGGCCGCACCGGCAGCATCATGAGCAATAGTTCCAGCGGCATTTGCTGCACTTCCAGCCACACTCGAGGCCGCACCGGCAGCATCATGAGCAATAGTTCCAGCGGCATTTGCTGCACTTCCAGCCACACTCGAGAGCGCACCGGCAGCATTATGAGCAATAGTTCCAGCGGCATTGGCAGCACTTCCAGCTACACTCGAGGCCGCACCGGCAGCATCATGAGCAATAGTTCCAGCGGCATTGGCAGCACTTCCAGCCACACTCGAGGCCGCACCGGCAGCATCATGAGCAATAGTTCCCGCATCATGAGCAACACTTCCAGCTGCATTTGCGGCGGCTTCGGCTGCCTTTTGTGCCACCTTGGCAGCAGCTCCATCATTGTAACAGGTGCAAGCACAGGTGATCGCAGGATTTTCATAGCCACTGGCAATTTCTCTCTTGGAGACAGATTTCTAAAAAAAAAAAAAAAATTTCAAAATTATTTAAAAAAATTTTATTTAAACATAAACTATAAATACGTGTGAAGAAAATATAAAAGATTAATAATTTAAAATATTAAGGAACAGTTTTTAAAATAAAATATATAGATATAAATTAAATGATTACCTTAGTTGATTGGTTGGCTTTAGCTTCGGCACTGGCTGCCTCTGCCTTTAAAAATAAAATATTCAAATTATTTTCGTAAACATAAGAATTTGTTTAACATACCGCTTCCTGGGAGACTAGGTGTCCAAAATTAATGGCGCTGTTGGAAGCCTCTTGTCCCAACAAAGTGCCCTCTTCTCCCAGTTCGTGACCAAGAATATTGCCATCCTCTCCAAGTTGCCAGCCTGAGTTGGCATTTGCCTGAAAATAGATTTTATATTCATTTATTTCAATACCTTCGGTAAGATATTTTGCTACCCACCGCTGCTTCTCCATACTTTAAGATGCTTTGGGCGCCCTCTTTACCAAATTGTGTGATTTCCTGGCCCAATTCATCACCCAAAATGGAGGAATCTTGACCTATTTCGTTGCCCTGCATTTAAATTAAATATATGATAAGTTTTTAAAATTGATAATATATTAATTAAATAATATTTTAAATTACCAAGGTACTATTCAGCACACTTTTAGCACTGATTTGGTGTTTTCCCACTACGGAAATCACCAAAAAAAGACTGACTACTATGATTTTCATGTTTGAATATCGAACTAAAGATATTGCCGTGTCTTGCATGCTTTATATACTAAAAAATATCAAAATAATTTTATCTGAGGTGCAAAGTTCTTATCAAAAGACCCACTTTGTGATCGATCCATTTTAAACCCTGTATGGTTTTTGACAATTATTTCCTCTAGTCTGGGTGGTCAGGAAAGGAAAGTACACAAAATAGTACGAGATAACGAATTTGTCGATGTCTCCTAAGTCTGGTACGTTATCTTAAAAACGTCTGGCATTTGATTAATTAATTAATTGTGATTTAATTACAAATACAGTTTATGAATGTAATGCACTTGAAATTTATGATTCTATGATTCTAAACCTTCAAGTTCAAGTACAAAATAATTCCAAGTCGCTGACATATGTTGATAATTTTTTAATAGCTTGAGAAATTTGTGCTTATCAAAATGAAAACAAAATCGCTTTATTTGGATTACTTTTTTTTTGGTGAATGAATAAGCAGTAAAAGGTTATTTTTATTATCAGTGAGTAACAGTTGTAGCTTGATTGTGAAAGTAAACAAATCAATAGATAATGGTGCTTTATATCTACATATCTTCGCCTTTAAGTGGAAAGTACTTATAAGGATTGGGCATTCCATTCGGCAGGAATCTACTGCCAGTTCGTCGCATTTTTATTTTTTTTGAGAGGGTTTTTCTATCCAGAGGCTTTGCGGGATTTCGGTAGTTGTTAAATACAAAATTTAGGTAATATTCAGGACCTTTTTTCTTCTTGCCAGTGAAAGTTGAGGAACCTTTACCCTTGGGTAGTTGATAAGCTAAGCGAATGTGGGCGTTGCCGCCGGGTTTGATTTTGAAATCCTTGATGTCCTCTGAACTCGGCTAAAATATTATTTATAATATATTTCTTATTTTTTGTTATCTATTTCACTTAGATCTTTACCTCTGCCCGAAAATGTTTAAAAACCAATAGTAAAAGGCCAATATATATTAACATAAGGGCTGTCATCGTAAAACTAATCTAAAATAAATATAAATTACGTCGCCAAGGGAAAAGCTTGAAAATCATTTCGATTCGCTTAAACTATATTCGAAACACAGTTAAATTTTTTACTTAGTTAAAAAAATAAAAGTGGCATAATATAATAGTGTTTTTATTACCGAAACTCAATCTTTAAAAATTAGTTAAAGTTAATGATAATTCCGGTCATGCTTGGTAATCCTTTATGATCGGTTTTTTCCTTTACAAAATCTCCGAGCCTCTCCTGACAAAAAATGTTAAGAGTTTATATTTGATTAATACCTATCTTTTTTCTAAACTCACGAATGCTTTATTGATAATTCTAGATTGCTTTCCATTGATTCCGGTGCCATCTTCAAAGTTTTCTGCCATGTTATTCATTGACTCTTCGATGTCATGCTCAATCTGGCCAATTTCATGGGATTCTTCTGACTGGCTTTCAAAAAATGCTGGTTGAAAGAAAATCAGAAGGAACAGGGCCACGATGGCCACTCTTCGAGGAACTTGCTTCATTTAAGCGATTGAAGGATTTAAAGTTCTGTGCTAATATATTTAAACCACGATTCGATGCAGAAAACGCTTCAGTAAATCGCTTCGTTGCACTCTGCTCCAATCTCGAATGTTATTTCTCCCTGACATCTAGTCAATGTCAGCTGTTAGAGTTCTAAATCGAGCCGAATCGCTTTACGATGATTTTTATGCAGCCCGCCAGCGATTTGATGGATTTTTGCATAAAATGATTCCCAGCACTTCCGTTACGTGACATTTCGGGTGGTGTTCGCCAGCTCACTCGCCTAATGTAAACAAGTTATAAAACGCTCGTAAAAGGCCAGTGCAAAAGCAAAACTATGGCCACATAAAAAGGCTATAAAATCAGTAGCTTCTGCTACCGTTCTCTATAAAAAACCACTGAAGGGAAATGCAACAGGAAATATCCCAATACCCTTTTAATTTTTTTTTGTAAGCCACAAATTACATATATTCATGAAAGTACATTTTTATAAATTTAATTTATTTTACATTTTATTCAACAAATTTTTTTAAAGTAATTTTTTGTATTTAATAGAGGTTATTATTAAATCGACTTTTTTATAAATTTAAGTTAGTTAAGTAAATAAAAACTTTTTTTTCAAAATAACAAATTCATAATACCTTTTTGTAGAGTATGCCAAAAAAAAATAACAACAGGACATATTTTTTACGTCTTTTGCGAACTTTGCGAAATGCTTGAATCGTAAAGCAACCTCATGACCTCAGAAGGGGGCTCAAATGGCTGAGGATAGGGGAAGTTTTTTTCGTCAAAGGTGTCCCGAACCACTATTGTAACCCCAACTCTCATTATCGCAAAATCAAAATGCGTTTGTCAATGAATTAGAATCGCTTCGATGGCAGTGTCGCTCGTAAAGTATTTGCCTTTGTTACAGACTTTTTTGGGGAATTTTATTACCGCTAAAATAAGTACGCAAATGGATGGTGCATTTTTTCCTCGGGGAATAAACGATTTTTTAGTTCTTCAAGGCTTAAATCACTTTAAACAAAGCGCCTATGAATTGACTAAGTTTATTTCCTTACTAACTAATACTACCTTTTTCGCTACCTTTTTTGAACAAGCGTCGGCAACACTGCCCAGAAATCAACCCCAAAATTATGCCAGCAAACGTAGTGTGTTCGAGCTCAACAGCCGCTATCTTGAAATTGAGCATTTGACACGAGCCGAACACAGGCAGCGTGGCCGAGCGGTCTAAGGCGCTGGTTTTAGGCACCAGTCCGAAAGGGCGTGGGTTCGAATCCCACCGCTGTCACAGAGTCTTTTTTTATTTTGTCTATTTTTTATTTCTCATGAACATCTACATTTTTGGTTAAAATTAATTTTATGAAATAAAAAAATCTTTGAGAGCATCAGGAAGTTCATTTAAGCAAATTAGTTTTATTTTATAAAATATTGAAAGTTTTTTTTTATTTTCAATTAAATAAGAAACTTGTATTTTAGGTATTTTTTTTTAGATAACTTTTTAATAGAGACGTTTACAGCGTTCACTGTAGTTTTACTTTCAATGGCGCTAATCAACAAGTGTTATTTATGCCGAAATTATTTATCAGACTTTTTTCTTAAACGGTGCTAATTACCTACTGCGAATATGCTTATTAATCTATAAGCGGAACCGATATTTAAAAGTGGCATTTTGAATGACATTTTTCTGTCATTTTTAAAACAACCTTTTTTTTGTTTAGTGTATTAGTTCATTTTTTAGGCAGAAACCAAGAATAAATATTTTTCAAATAAACTCAGTCTGAGGATAATTGTTATTAATTGTGCCATTTGTTGCTAGTCTTTGGCTTTAGTTTTATGGTTTATGGGTCTTTAGGTCTTAAGAACTTTTGACATAGTAATTAATTTTATATACTTTTCCGTAGATTATCGTCATAGAAACTATTTCAGATTAACAAACTAAGAGTGGGAAGTACGTGTTTCTAGTCAATAGATGCAGTTTAGCGCTGAAAAATTAGACTAGCGTGAGTCTAATTACGAATACAATTACCAGTGAGTAATTGCTCGAATAGAATTGTTCTAAATATAGAAAAAAAGGCAATGTTTTTGCTGAGAGCTTTTTGTTCACTAGACGGCAGACGGCGCCTCGTTGCGGCAGCGTGGCCGAGCGGTCTAAGGCGCTGGTTTTAGGCACCAGTCCGAAAGGGCGTGGGTTCGAATCCCACCGCTGTCAGGTTGCATTCCTTTTTTTTATGTTTCCTTCACTTAACAGCAGGATGCTGCGTTTTTTACATATTCCACGCCTAATTAGACCTCGCGAAACGGAGACCTCCTGACCGGGGGCCCGATTTTCCACGTTTTTCCGGTACACAAAGACTCCGTTTATCTGCCGCTGACATTTCCCGCGTGTTGCCTTTCAACTTTTCCTTCTGCCTGCCCAACCCTTTTTGCGGTAACATGTTGATCCCGTTAACAACCCGCCAAACGAAAGGAAAATGTTAGGAAATTAAAGAAAGGGTTTGCCGTGACTCTAGAGCCTTAGAAATCAAATGGATAAAAGTATCAAATGTCCGAAATGTATCCCGTGGTTATTTCCGGCCACCAACTGACTCTTAAATACCACAAAGATTGTTATTCGTAGATAGGCCACTGAAACATTGCGTTTTGTGCGCATTAAACAAATTCAAAGCTCATTTACGATCTACACAGTGAAATAAAAAGAAATGTATCTTTTATGAAGATTTTTTAAAAGGGCTTTTTTAAACAAAATATATTTTTTATCAGTGCTCAAATAGTTATTAATTCTTTAATGATTAATAACATTTTTACATCTAAACACTTAAAACGCATTAAAACATATAATTTTTAATAGATTTACCTTTTCCAATTTTGGACTCCCCAGAAACCATTTTTATTACTCAATCAGGGGAATTCCGTAATCGATTTAAAGTAATATTTTTTTCTGTAAGTTTTCATATTTTTCTTCTTTTTTTCATTTGCTTATGGAAATTTTTCAGAATCTTCTTCGCGTTAGGAACTGGTTTACATGTCACATATGTATACAACGCCTGGTTAGCTGGTAAATCACCAGGCTAACCGGGGAATGACAGCGTTTTGTTCTGCCGGTGGATTTTGCATGGTATAGTTGCTATATATCATTTACGAGAGTACAGGTCTCTTTGCAGATGATGCATGACAAACGGGCAAACCCACTAAAGGGATGCAGGCACCTAATTTGATACAAATACCCTTGAATTTGTCGCGTCATAAAATGATATAGAACATACATTTCGTATGAGTAATACGGGTAGAATTAGACCGTTTCCTATTTGTCAAATATTTATGACGTGTGGACAGGAATTCCTAAACAACGTCATTGGCTTGAGGTCTTGGTTTTCCTAAGTTCGTTGCACCCAAAAAAATGAGAGGGAGTTTTTCTTGAGCTTAATTTTTGGTACCAAAAACCTTCGGTGTCACCCAGAGACACGCATCTTTAAGATACAGACCACAAAATAATACTAGCCACTAGATTTAAAAGATTCAACCGCAGAGCGGAGAACAGTGGCGCTCGATTGATAAACCCGCTCTATAGAGCTGAGTTACGATCGAGAACCGATCGAGAGATCCGCTGTCCACGAAGCCGAGAAGCTGCGGCTATAAAAAGCTCGAACCAACTCCAGATTTCTCACAGTCTGTTTTAACGGGTCAGCTGGAAACCATACAACTCGGAAGTGATTTTAAATATATTTACCAGAAGTTATAAACGAAAATGAAAGTGTTCGCGGCGGTTTTTCTTTGCATTCTGATTGCCCACGAGGCCAGAGCCCAGTGTGAGTGTTAAGTAGATTTAAACGGTCCACTGGCCATTGAAAAATCCCCAAAATCAAGGGGAAAACGCACAAGTGCACTTCTAATTGAGCCGGTTAAAAACCTGTTGGCTGGAACATTGCACGCGCCAAGAGTCGAAGTGGGCAGTGCCCCAAGAGCCAAGTGATTTGTAATTGTGGTCAAGATCTGATTACGTTTGGAAAAATAGGATGAAATCCCCAATTACTTTGGAAAGTTGCCTAGGCAATCAATAAATGTTATTAGTAATAATAATAATAATAATTTATTACTGGTTTCATAATTCAATAGAATTTGTAACAAAGTTGTTAATCAATAAGTTAACATTATTTCATAACTCATTGTTGAACGTTGGTAATATATTCGATTGTAATAATCGAAACTATTTTCCTGTACCGATTATTACGTTTTATGAAATATAATTTAAAAGCAGCGAGTTTCATTCGTTTCTTCTTTAAAACATTCATGATTTAAAAAATAATTTAAGTTTTAAATTTAAGGTTAAAAATGAATCCCATTAAAATCATAATTAAGTGCAAGGCGAAATATATTATCTTGAGTTTCTTTGAGTGTGTCATGATCAATTTGCTTGTAGAATGGAGCACCTGCTTCGACCGCAAGAATGTCACAAAAGAGGCGCGTGCATTTCGGTGGATCCCCTAGAGAACCAGATTTTAATATTATTTTTAACCTCTTTTGCAGACTCTCGATGCCTGAATCCCAACCAAAGGCAGGGACTTTGTGTGCACATTAATGATTGTCAGACACTGTACTCCGTGTTGAAGCAGGCCAAATTAACTGATTTGGAAAAGAAGTTCATCAGGAACTCGGCCTGTGGAATGGGCGCAGATAATAAACCCTTTGTCTGCTGCACTCAGGATACGGGTTATGTGAGGAACCAGCGACAGACTCCCAGTTTTCCAGACTACGATGGTTTTGGCGGAGATTGGGAGGAGGAGAGGCCACAGAGCTTCGTTTTTCCGCGACAAGAATCGCGTCCTTGGAGCTTTGGCAACCAAAATAACCAGCAGGGCGGTGAAAGGACTACGCTTCAGAGAGCCTCAACTGGTGATGGCTCCAATTTACTGCCCCAGCCGCCCAGCTGCGGGGGCGTAGCTATTAGAAACAGGATCTACGATGGCCAGGATACGGACCTAAATGAGTTTCCTTGGATGGTCCTCTTGGAGTACCGCAGACGAACTGGAAATGGCCTTTCCACCGCCTGTGCAGGATCCCTGATCAATCAGCGATATGTCCTTACCGCTGCCCATTGTCTAACGGGAAGGATCGAACGGGAGGTCGGATCACTGTGAGTATATGTTGTCTATAAAAAATCTCCGGAAAGTTCCTTAAGACTTGGAACATTGAGAAATGCTTTTATTCTGTTAGCTTCAGGGGATGTTTATTTTTGAGAGGCAGGTCTGTCAGATTGAGTTAAGTTTTAGATTAAAAAAATTGATATTTTATATTATTTTAAATAAATATTTTAATATTCATAAAAGGCCAATATTCATGTGGTCGAATGTTCAGTGACTTTATAATTCAAATGTCATTGTGAATCTTAAAAGTTTTTCGTTTTTTTTCTGCATTGAAAGTCAAACCTAATGGCGGTTTTCGCTTTGCATGTAAATATATTCTAACCACAAGTTAGTCCAGACATTCCTATATCAAAGAAAGGGGAATTTTCCTATGCATCAATATCTTTAACAGATCCAAAGACACTTTAAGAGGCGCCAAGCAAAACACACTAGTCACCATCCCCTTTTTATATAAACTTCTTTAATAGATCCCCAATAACCAGATTTTATAAATGACTGTTGATGTTTGTGCCCGTAGCATTAGGGGATTTACTATAGATCTGGCTAACTGATTCCGATTCATGAATGGGGCGGCGGTTCAATAGCCCACTTAGCCGGTGAATCAAGTTTAGGTATTACGAATATTAAGATCTACTCTCCAATCCAGTTTCTCTCAGTGGGCGAAAGTGGCTTATTCACGCTTGTTTGTGCGATAATTCCGAGAAACCCACTGCATTCTCCAGTTAAATCGGCATAAATGGGGCCAAAGGGATCCCCAGGTCTGTAGACTTGGCTAATTTTCAAGAATATTCATTAGACGGCTAACCAGCTGGATGATTCACCCGTTTTGGTTCTTAATTTGCTACGCTCTTGATTTCGCCGTTTGGCCAAGCACCAATTAGCAGGTTAATTCTAGTGTTTAATGGCTTAAATGCTCATTAATTTGTTATATTTTTGCTTATTTCTTTTTCAGTGCCTCGGTGAGATTGGGTGAGCATGACACACGCACGGCAGTGGATTGCCCCCCGGGCGGAGGAAGTTGCTCGCCGGAGGTCCAGCGTTTGGGCTACGAGGAGATCCGGGTTCACGAAAGATATAATGAAAAGGCTACGAATCAAGTGCACGATATTGGTTTGATTCGCTTGGAGCGGAATGTTCGGTACTCGGATAATATACGACCTATTTGCTTGCCCTCGTCTGTGGGTTCGGAGGTCCGTCAGCCGGGTCAACAGTTCACCGTAGCCGGTTGGGGAAGGACTCTAAAGTCGGCCCGTAGTGCCGTCAAGCAGAAGGTGACCCTGAGTTATGTGGATCCCGCCAAGTGCCGTCAGAGATTCTCGCAGATCAAGGTGGCCGTGGAATCCACGCAACTCTGTGCCGGTGGACAATTCCGACAGGATAGCTGCGACGGCGATTCGGGTGGACCTCTGATGCGTTTCCGTGGCGATTCCTGGGTCCTCGAGGGCATCGTGTCCTTCGGCTACAAGTGCGGACTGAAGGACTGGCCTGGTGTCTACACAAATGTGGCTGCCTACGACATCTGGATCAGGCAGAATGTGCGGGCTTAAAGACGAGAACAATGAACTCCCCGGAGAAGTTCAAAGCGAAAATTGTGATCTTTACTATCCTTAGCTTAGGTGCTAACTTAGATTTTAGTTGACTTTTGGAATATTTATTACATTACTGAAAATACAAATTATATGAAAGCTACAATCGATTTTTAATTTGTTTAAGTGTAAGAAAATTAAAGATCTTTTACTGGTTTACCTAATACTATCAAAATAATATCAATAAAAAATTGATTAACAACTTGGAAAAATAAAAACTTTAGAATTTAACTATTTAAAAAGGAGTTCAAGGACTTAAGGAAATTCTCTTTGAAAGTGACACTCATTATAGCGCCCGGAAGTATGCAAATAAGAACTCATCCAATAAGCACAGGCGTTTTTGCAAACCGTATTTGCAAAAAAAAATATTCGGATACGAAAAATAACTGAAAACATAAAAGGCTTGTTTTCTTAATTAAAAAATTGAATACCCATACCCAAGAGGAGAACAAGATTATTAATTTAATTTTAGAATTAACATGCCAAGTTCCTTTTTTGAAAATGTTCAATTGCCCCGTTTTCAAGTAATTTTGTATACTATTTTATTGGTGCTATGGTAAGATTTAGTTTTTATAGTTCTTATGACATTTACATAAGTTCCTTAGATAAGAATTACTTAATTTAAATATTTCACAATATTGGGTAATCACTAGTACTAAACATAGTTTTATTTTCACGCCACCCCAACAAGGTGATTGAACTGCCCGAAAGAACCTTTGGATTTCCCAGCAGAATACGACACCTCCAACAATCTCGAGGCGAAATGACATTGCCACCGCGTTTTAATTGGCGGCTTTTACGGCGGTAGAAAACCACAAGAAAACTTCCGGTATTGGCAGGTGTTTTTTATTTTGTTTTGTTTGGAGTCCGTGGACTTTGGCCAAAAACGAAGTGTTAAAGCTTTTTCAAAAATTCAATATAAAACCTCCTAAAAGTGGGCAATAAGTGGGAGATAAAGCTTAAACTAAGCCGCAAGTCAGTCTCTCACCTTCAACGAAAGTGAAACCAGCTGGCCAGCTGAGTTGAGTTGGTTATGCAATATTATATTATAACCGGACCAGCCGGACGATCGGAATCGTAGTATCGGTCGACCTGCCGACTACTTACTGCACTTTTGGACTCGTTTTTTTCGCCGCAACCTAAATGGGGCGGGGGCGGTCGCATTTGTTGACACCTGAGTGTTCGGAGCTTTTGTAGACTGAAGAGCCGGCGGGGTCTGTCTTTCTTCGGCTCTTCCGACTTTTCGGGGTCTTCGGTTTTTTCGCTTTTTTGGCACTCTGCTTATACAAACTGCGTTGCCATTCAGTTTCGGTTCGTAAGCCTTTGACGCCGCTTCTTCTTGCCAGAGACGATCGCTTTGGATTATACATTGTATCTCTGTGATTCAAGATCATATAGATCTTATATTTAGATACTGTTACCCATGCCCGGCTCTTCGGTTCTTCGACTATGGATATTCTTCGGCTTTTTCTACCGCTTTTTGGCCCTCCAGGAGTGCGATATTCCCAATGAATCGAAAAGAGGCGTTTGCATGGAGGTCAGCAGGTGTAAGGCGTATTTACAAGTGCGAAATGCCACCAATTTGCCCGCTGAGAAGGTGAATTTCCTGAAGAAAGTGCAGTGCGAGGTGGAGCAGCAAATCTCGGAGGCAGAGGGTTCTTATGAATCCCTCGTTTGCTGCCCGGCAAATGGACAGGATTATCTATTTCCCGTGCTGCAGTTTTCCAAGTTCGAGTACCGAAGATTTCTGGATGTCACTGCTCGATTTAAGCGGAAGAAACTGAAGCGGAGGATTCAAACCGTAGAGCCAAGTTCGGGATTTAATTTACTGAACGAGTGTGGAAAGCAGGTGACCAATCGAATTTATGGAGGCGAAATCGCCGAACTGGATGAATATCCTTGGCTGGCCCTGCTCGTCTATAACTCAAGTAAGTTCTTAAATTTATAAAAATGTTTATATTATGAAAAATGTTTGAAGAATTTTTAAAAGAATAAGAATAAAGTCATGGTTTTCATTTTTATAAATTTATAGTAATTATAACGGTCAATACTTAAAAAATGTTTAAAAAATCTGGAAAAGTTATGTATAAATTTAGTCATAGTGGGAGAGCATTAGCTTTTGGTAAATAAAATATTTTTAGACCATAAATAGATTGTTCGAATTCTTTTACATAATTAATCTGTAATGGTAAGCCATTCCTAGCACAAACTATAAAATCCTATTAAATCTACATTAACACAATAATTTATTTGAGTTCAAAAACGTTTTTTTTAATATTTATTTTAGATGACTACGGCTGCAGTGGAGCTCTAATAGATGATCGTCATATCTTAACGGCGGCCCATTGCGTTCAAGGTGAAGGAGTGCGCGATCGTAGAGGATTGTGAGTAGATTTAAAATATATGTATATCCCAAGTTCTCTATAAAAATATTCCATTTCGATTAGAAAGCATGTGCGACTTGGCGAATTCAATGTGAAAACGGAACCTGATTGCATCGAGGAACCCAACTACTTGAGCTGCGCAGATGCCGCTTTGGATATTGCCTACGAAAAGATCCATGTGCATCCCGAATACAAGGAGTTCTCCAACTATAAATACAATGATATAGCTATTATCAGATTGAAACATCCCGTATCCTTCACCCACTTTGTCATGCCCATTTGTTTGCCCAATAAATCGGAGCCCCTGACTTTGGCCGAGGGTCAGATGTTCTCCGTTTCCGGATGGGGTCGCACGGATTTATGTGAGTATATCACGAATACTAAGAGTATTTCAGATGTTATTATTTTTAAGTATTTGCAAATGTTTACCTGATGCTTAACATCCCCCTTGATAAAGCTTTGTTATGCTTTTCTTTGTTTTAAATGTGTGTACAAAACAATGCGGACTTGATTAAGGGAAAACCCAAAAAAATATAGTGTCAACTGATATAGTTTACTGTTTTGTTAATGGAAGTTTTCTGGAAAACAAAACATGGTTTTTTCCATGGTGATTTTTTAACAACATATTCACGGAATTCATTCAACGAGGAAGTCATTTGCTTATAAAATTTGGGAATAAAGTTATTTTAAATTGATAATAAAATCAGTATTATAATAATTTCGAAAATTTGACCAAAAATTCTAAATAAGAATATTTTTTTTTATATTCTTGCAGTCAACAAGTACTTCATCAACATCCACAGTCCCATAAAGCTGAAGCTGCGCATTCCGTACGTCTCCAATGAGAACTGCACCAAGATCCTCGAGGGATTCGGGGTGCGATTGGGACCCAAGCAGATTTGTGCCGGTGGGGAGTTCGCCAAGGACACCTGTGCCGGGGACTCGGGAGGACCTCTGATGTACTTCGATCGCCAGCACTCCCGTTGGGTGGCCTACGGGGTGGTCAGCTACGGATTCACCCAGTGCGGAATGGCCGGAAAGCCGGCTGTTTACACTAACGTGGCCGAATACACGGATTGGATCGAGAGTGTCATACAGCAGCAGCAGAGGAAAAAGAGTCAACAACCAACGACAAATCAACAGGCCAAATTGCCTTGACGTCAGATTTTTATTATTTAATTTTCGGGAGGGGAAAGAACAATTGGCGCCTAATTGAAGTGGGCACATGGCTCCGATTCAGATCTATTTACCTCTACCATATCCACCATATTTGTACATATTTTGCTAATTATCTAACAGCCATCAACTATTTGGTTAAGCGTGTGAGTGAATGAGTGCGGAATGTGAGTTCTCGCTAACAAAAGTCTGAAAAACATGTTTCTATTTAAATAAACTACTGAATATTTACCCCTTCTGTGGAGTTTAATGGAAAGGCAAGGGGAGGGTTCCGGGAAAAAGCTGATAATAAACATTACGTATTATTAGGCTGACTCAGTCGGGAAATCGTGTAATATCATACTCCCTGAGGCATCTTTATGGGTAAATAAAAATGTGTGCCTTTAAATAAGCTTCAAAAATGATCGATCAAATTAAAATATTATTTGCTTTAAACAACAAATAGTATACAAACTATTTATAAAATGATTATCTTGATATGATTTTCTTTTCATTTGTTTTAGAACTATTTTAAAATAAATATACCTTAGACCTCTTTGTGCAAAAATAATTTAATTTAAACATTTTAAAGATTTACTAGGACCATTATATTTCACTTATTACATTTTCAAGAATCAGATTGTTATATCTTTTATCATTGATGCTTTTAAGCAATTGACAATTTTTGTTACCAAAAAACATTTTGAGTTCTTATAAATGTTTTGTATTTTTGTTTTGATAAGTTAATATAATTTATTTATTAGTATTCCATAATTTACCTATATCCTAAATTTTTTAGTTATTAGCTGTCTTTGTTTAGGGTTCCATATTTTTTGTTGAGTGCATTTATTGGCGGCTTATCGATCTGTTTCGAGTATATCAGCTGTTCGGCCGCTCGAGCAGCTGGTCAAACCCGCTGGTGCAGTAGTCCTCAACTTGATGTCGTCATTGATTGCCACACTTTGCTTTCACCCGCCATTCGCGTGCACTCAAAACGTGGCTTAAAGAAAAAATACAGCAACAACAATAAATGGCCCAATGATGCAATGGCTGCCAAAAACAAAGTCGAACCCCAATCAAATCCAAATCGGTGCCCAAAACGATGCCAGGCCATTCATCAGGTCTGTTTTGGATCCGAAAATAGCCAGAAGCCCAGAAAAGCGACGATCCACTGGCCATTTGTATGCGGTGCGCAGGTGTTGTGGCCAAGTGCCAGTGGGCCACTGACCAAAATTGGCCAAAAGCGCGGAGTAAACTAAAAAAAACTGAAAACCGAAATTCGGCGGGGTTGCTACGCATCATCGGTGCGTCATGGAGTGAAAGTGAACTTGACTCTTTCGACCGGGCTGCATTTGATTTAATGCCCCCAAGCGGTGATTATGATGTGTGCATTAATATTCATGATGTTTATCAGCTGGCTGGCGACGGCGACGCCACCACACCTGTTCAAAAACCAGATCCAAAATCCAAGACTTTGGGGCGCCAGTCCCCCAGTTCCCCACAACCATTCATACATATGCTTGTGCAGCTCATTATCGGCTTTTTGGCGATTTTTTTCGGTTAACCTTGAACCACATATACAGATATACCGATACTATACCGATACCCACTCGCAGATACAAACTCACACACTGGGCCAAAATAGATATGGGAATTGGCAAACATGAATGACATTGAATCGCAGGGCTTTTCGCGGAATGGTCAGCCAGAAACTGGGTGAAATGATAACCGGTTTTCAATCGCAACTCAAATGAGAGTTTACTACTTAATGGTAAAGTGGTTCTTTAATGATGGTTAAATATATTGGTGAATAATAATATTATTCTCAATTAAATATTCGCCGTGAATTTTAAACATTTTTTTTTGTTGATGATTTTAGAAAACAATTTAATTTTATAAAATTAGTAAGCCTGATAGATTTTTTAAGAAAAAAGTATTTATCATTTAACCTTGAACTGTAAAAAGATTTCTTCGTCCATATAATACTTATGTTCGTTCTTATTCTTAGATATGTCACTTATCATCCGCACTTGTCCTCGTTTTGCATGCAAGGCATAAGTCTGTTTTTGCGTTTTAAATCAGTATCTTGTGATAAACCAGTGAATAAAGTTCGAAATAAAAAAATTATAAATTCAATTAAATTATTTCAGATCGAAAAATATTATTTTTTAAATTTCATTCAGTCTTAAACGAATCTGGACAGTTGTTGAGCCGGCAATTCCCGTGTCAATCAAAACATCGACCAACTGGCAACCGCATTGAATGGCCAACTGGGCGTACTAATTCGGTTATGGCCACGCCCACCCGGCAATTATAAAGTCAATTTGAGCTACTTTATACCAGGGGTCCAAAGCCCTGCTAAAAGAGTACAAAAGAGTGAATAGAGACGAGAGGAGAAAAGTCTTCTAATCAATTTACCAGAAGGCAAGTTTGATAATTGCATTGGGCTGCGCTTTGTGGAAAGTTTATTTTTGTGAAAAGTGGAAAATTAGAAGGCAAGCTGGAAAATTAGCCATATGGCGAAGGAAGGGGTTTCCCAGGTGGAAGGAACAATGCTTTTTGTTTTCATTTTCCCCCTTACCCGCTTATAAAACTGGCAATTGCATTTCCATTTCCATTTATCGGCAGCTGAGACCCCTTGACTATAAAACTTTATCGACTTGTTAACTGAGCGGCGGACGTATCAATAAATGCCAACGTGCGACACAGACGTTGACATGCCATTAAATGTCGTCTCAGGATAACATATCCTTGGTCCTTTGAATTTTTGCATGAGCATGAGGGTGCTCAAAAACCCTGAAAACCCCTCAAACCATCAAAAATCCAGGACTAAGCAAGGGTAACTGCCGAGCATTTGGCCCAAATTGTTGTATAAACTCAATGAAATTAAAATTCGAAAAAGAGGGAAATTGCGAGTGCATATAAATAAATGGAAATAAAAATGGCAAAGTATCCGGATCGCTTTCATTAGTTAATGGATTGTCCGCAGATATAGGGCCATTGGCTTTAATCAGAATAGACTATTCATTTCAAGACGTAGTATTTGTTATCTCAACTGCATTGTCGTTCATTCATAAAATGCGTATATTATGGGACTCCAACTATTAATCACAATGTGCAGCTCAAGTAAATCGGTCGTGATGCAAAGCTGCTGTCTGCTGCTCTTTATATTGAACGGATTTATAAGGGTTAAAGGAGAGGAAGCGCAGTCTATGGAGGTAATATAATTTATGTTTAATAACTATTAACTTTAATATATGAAAATCTTTTTTATTCTTAGGAACTTGCCTACCCCAACGCAAAACTATTTCTAGGAAATACACAAACAAACTTGGAATATAAAACTACTAAAGATCAGGTAATTGCTTTCAGAAATATATAAACACTCAATCTAATAAGTTTTTCTCTGCAGGAAGAAAATGGCTCTTCATCTACATCTTTTTTAAATATTTATTTTGAGGTGAATTTTTGATTTTATGTATTTTGAATTAGTTTGAGCTTAATTTTTATTTATATTGATAGGCTGATTATTCGTCAAAAAACCGCCTTAATAGATCGAGTTTTGGCGGACGCACACAAACAAATCACTTGGGCAGGAGAATTCGGATAAATCGTCGAAGAAAACACTAACAAATTGTGACAATAAATATAATAATAAAAAGTGTAGCTATGAAAAAAAGAGATCCCGTTTTATGTGTTTGGCCTTAAAAAAAGTGGAATATATAAAATTAAAAACCTGCATATTGCATTAAACATTTCATATTTAATTTATTTAAATATTTAAAAGAAAACATTTTAAATGGCAAGAATTAAATTAATATTATAATATAAAGAAAATAAATAAAATGGTTACCCATTAGTCAACCATTTTTTTGTGGCACTTAATCTTATCTTACCTTATCTTATACTAATGTAGAGTGAGATCCAATGGCAGACCTAGACCTTTCTCTCAGTAATCTTTGGGATCTTATAAAAACAACTTCGGCCAAATGGCAGCCTCTCTGAATTGGAAAATCCTGTTGCTAGCCTGGTTTTTACTAGCTAAAGGAGAAACATTTAAGCCAGCAAAGGTAAGTCTTCGATAGCCAAATTAATTGAATAACATTTTTTTTCTGTAGGAGACCGACCCTGTTCTTCAGGCAAACAAATTTTCATCGCGTGGAGATGACTCAACGATCGAAATCGTATGATGATGAAATTCAAATCTGGTTAATATATTATATCTTGATTTTTTTCAGAAAGAGTAACCAACTACAACTACAACAACTACTGAGCATTCTGTATTGCAAGAAGATGACTCAATTAAGAATCCCTTTTTAACTTTATCACCAAATATTTCTGCTGAGGTAGGTTTTTCTTGAACTAGTTATAGTGTAAGGACTGAAATATATTTCTCTTTATCTTAACAGGATATCAAGAAAAGAGTCAAGAGAACCAGCTTTGGTGGACCCATCAAAACAGATCACAAGGGGAAACCACCAAAGAACAAACAAACTACCATGCGCGGATCCACGAGGGGTGACATGGGTGATAGATCTCCCTCCACTCGGGTGAAAAATAAGGGGAATTTTGGTATTCAAAATGTATTCAACAAAAAAACGGTTCTGATACCACCCCCCGCAACAAAATCCTAGATGCAAACTACTTTTTTAATTTACGGGTGAAGGTTATAAATTTCATCAACTAACATATTCATTTACAAGAATGAACGAATTTTTGATTGAAATATATTCTCTAACATACAATTACATCATATCAATGGTTTTTTGATATTTAAGTCCACTTGATTACCTACATTTCTACACTTCATGTAGAGACTATATATCCCCATAAATATGCAACCGTTTACCTTAAGATAATGTAAAGCCAAAGACGCGACTGTACCCGGCTGAATAATAATAAAATCGTTCCTTGCACGTGACCACTAAATTAAGAGTAAATAAAATCAGAGTTCGGATTCCAATATCCTTCACATGCCATCAGCATAATCGCTCTGTAATGGGAAAACTGTCTCGCGATAATAATCATCATCATCATCACGGTTTTTTTTTCATTTTTTCAGAGCAATAATAATAATGGCGCACGTGAGGCGAGCAAATGATGACTTTCGCTTTATGCGAAAATTATTATTCGGAAATTTGCATAGGTCTTTCGACAACCCTCGCGAAAATCGCGCACTTGAACCCGCGTTCAATATTTATTAAAAATTA